ATTTTAGGCAACTTTTTACATAAATGTGGGTAAAGAAATAATCATCATCTACAAGGTCACAATTTGCTGATTAAATCTTATACTAATTTCTTGATGTATTTTTAACTCATTCTAGTGAACATTTATTCCCTAAAATCAGAGTGCCATGTATATTTTTTATAAATTTTCAAAAAAGAAAAATGGATAAAGTTTGATCTGAAGTTCAAATAATCTTTAAACAGAACATTTATTTTTGAAAAAAAAAAATTAAAAAATGTATCAAATATCTTATAAATTAGTGAAATTATTGAATCTAGATAATGCTAAATAGTAAATATAAATATTATAAATTTCTGAGCTTCATATTTGAAATAATGACTATATCTTTTATATTACTTTGCTTCAGTGTCAACATAATATTCACTATGTTTCATATTCTACTTAAAGAAAAATAAGTCACTTGTCTACTGTAACAAGTTAGGTGTCTAGTGGAAATAAATTTGTATCCAAATCAATCAAAATGTAATAATAACATTATCAAAAACTAATTCATGTAGAAATTTAATTCTGTAAATATAGGTAAGAATAAGTAAATATAGGTAAGAATAAACTCTTTGGTGAACATGATAATGTGTAGAAAATGTAAAAACTTGTAATTGCACATTATCTGATGTTAGTGTAAAGATAATCCTGATGAATGATTAAAAAATCGGCTTTCTTTTAAAGAAATAATGGGAAAAGCAGGCATAGCTGTAAAACTAAACAAGAAATCATTAACTTTCCTCCTCAACTGTATGCCTGTTTCTTGTATCCTTTCTCCATCAAATACATCTAATGAGTCTTTTTTTCTCTCTTTTCACATTGGGACAATATTCAAAATTTTGACAAAAAATGGACATTCAATCAGAAAATACGTTCATTTATTAGGCCTAAAAACTATTATCAACTTTTACAACATGTGTTATCTATAAATGCCCTGAGAGAGAAAACAACTTCATATACATAGATAGTGAACATTTAAAAAAAAATCTTAACTTGTACACTGTCTAATCATCAAATCGGACGTTGTCGTCAAAAATACATAATTCAAGTTGATTAATCTAGCAGTTTTAATATAAATCATGTTTGATTATTTAAGGAAGGAGTTCATATATTTTGTTAAAAAATGAATAAAAAAAAAGAGCTAAATCAAAATTCATAAAGTCCGATAACTATAAGTCTAAAAGTTAAAATCTGAAATCATACATGACTTATAGAAAACATACGATTCTTCTTAATTATGTTTTTGTAAAATATTTGTGAGTGATATGAACACATGAAAATTATTAAATTAAAAAAAAACTAAATTGATGTCAAAAACACAAAAATGTCAAAAGCTGACGACAAATTAGTAGTGCCATTATCAAGATTGTATACTTTGCCAAAAACGGAAATCTTCTCTTAAATTCATCTGACTGTGTGATCAATGTCAAATGAAATACATGTAGGTATTATAGTGTTTGTATAAACCACCTGTTGACACATGTTATCAAAGTACTTGCAGTAGGTCTATGCTGATGTGATATAAAATATTATGCAAATCAACTTTAAGCACATAATCAGGAAATAATTAATTATAATAATGAGGTAATCTAAAAATGTCAATCATAAACTGTATAAAAGAAACATAACAAAGTTGTAACACTAAATTGATAGGAAAAAGTTGATGGTCAACAAATATAAATTTAACAATTAACTAGAGTCAATAACATTTTCACTGAGGTCAGTCTTATCTGGTACATTAAGCCAATAAGGTTAACAATTGAAAAACTAGAAATGTGTTGTAACGCCAGAATCATCCCCTCATGCAGCTAAAATTTCAAATGTTATAGTAATATTCAGTTCAAAATTTGTTTGCACAAACCATTTTTTCATTTTAATTTCAAGGCCTTTAAACTATTCAATGTTACCACAAAAGTTCAAGGCCTTGAAACTATTCAGTGTTAACCTTTTGGAAATTACATATTTGTAGCAGAGATAATATATGATTAGAAATTGTGAATTTTTAAATCAGTTCAAAGTTGAAAGGGGAAAACTGTAAAGAAACATCTGACCATGACAAAAGTAGAACTTGACTTGTATTTTCTGGTAAAATATCAGCACATGCAATGTCAACAAAAGTTAGAGCAGAAACTAACAAGAGCTGTCGGTAGGACAGCAACGCTCGACTATTCTTAGTGCTTGATAGTAAAAAAAATGCTTGATACAGTTACCTCCTCCTGTTTACAGGTTGGGGTCATGATGGTGAACAAGTGTGCAAAGTTTCAAAGCCATATGTCAATGGACTTTGAAAATATTTGAACTATTACAAAAACTTTAACGTAAATTCTAAGTCGAAAAAGGGGCTTAATTCTGTCAAAATGCTTGATAGAGTTACCTCCTACTGTTTACAGATTGGGGTCATGATGTTGAACAAGTGTGCAAAGTTTCAAAGCCATATGTCAATGGACTTTGAAAATATTTGAACTATTACAAAAACTTTAACGTATATTCTAAGTCGAAAAAGGGGCATAATTCTGTCAAAATGCTTGATAGAGTTACCTCCTCCTGTCTACAGGTTGGGGTCATGATGGTGAACAAGTGTGCAAAGTTTCAAAGCCATATGTCAATGGACTTTGAAAATATTTGAACTATTACAAAAACTTTAACGTAAATTCTAAGTCGAAAAAGGGGCATAATTCTGTCAAAATGCTTGATAGAGTTACCTCCTCCTGTCTAAAGGTTGGGTCATGATGGTGAACAAGTGTGCAAAGTTTCAAAGCCATATGTCAATGGACTTTGAAAATATTTGAACTATTACAAAAACTTTAACGTAAATTCTAAGTCGAAAAAGGGGCATAATTCTGTCAAAATGCTTGATAGAGTTACCTCCTCCTGTCTACAGGTTGGGGTCATGATGGTGAACAAGTGTGCAAAGTTTCAAAGCCATATGTCAATGGACTTTGAAAATATTTGAACTATTACAAAAACTTTAACGTAAATTCTAAGTCGAAAAAGGGGCATAATTCTGTCAAAATGCTTGATAGAGTTACCTCCTCCTGTCTACAGGTTGGGGTCATGATGGTGAACAAGTGTGCAAAGTTTCAAAGCCATATGTCAATGGACTTTGAAAATATTTGAACTATTACAAAAACTTTAACATAAGTGGTTACGCCGACGCCGACGCTCGGGTGACTGCAATAGCTCTACTTATTCTTATCGAATAGTCGAGCTAAAAATGTCTTATTTTTTTTAAGTTCAAGAAGGATAACTCTGTCAAAAGTCATTGGACCAAATCAAATTCGAACTTGTCTTGTATTTTAAATACCTGCACATGTGATTTCAACCTTATACATACATTTTTACAATAGTTGGCGAGATAATGAACAGAAACTGATCATGACGGAACAGGGTAACAAGGGGGCATAGAAAAGGCAAAAATGTGTTTTATAATGTTTTAATAATTAATTTATAGAAAAATTAGGTGCTTACCTTATGACGAAAACAGTATGAAATGTGAAATAATTTTGTCATAAAAGTAGCAAAATGGTAAAAAAAAATTGATATTTTGTTTTCTTTACACTAAATAGATAAAAAAAATTGATATTTTGTTTTCTTTACACTAAATCAATAATCAAAATTTCACATAAAGTAACTGAAATAAGATTAAACTATTAATTAAAAAATTAAGCTATTAATATGCAATAATTATTCGACACTTACTACCATTTTACTTTAATGACTATTTTTTTATAAAACAACTTCCAAAATATTGGGAAGTGCAAAACAATATTTTCTTCATAATTTTCTTGTTGTGACAGAGATTTCGTATTTTCTATATTCTATATTTCGTTTTTTATAAATTAGAAACACTATCAGTATATGATGTAGTACAGCATTGTACTTGATTTAAAAATGCTGATAAATGAACACAGTAATTAAACGCAGAGAATAGATTCATACATGTACATGTACTGCTAAAATGACTCATTGAGGATTTCCTTAGGGGTGTACATGATCAATAATTACTTATAAATCGAGCCAGAATCTAGATATCCTACAATAATCACTAAAACTTAAAAAAAATCATTCCAAATCAAAAACTTATTCTAATCTAGAATGCATCAAATTCATAAGTAAATCCATTTATTCAACAATAAATAAAAATATGACAATATTAAACAAGTGACAGAAATTGTCACATAACCAGGTTTTCCGCTCGGAATAATAGAATTTCTTCAGAGTTGTCAGAGCCTTTGTGCACAGAAGGGAATTCTTTAATTACTTGCACATGCAGAAACAAAAGGCCATAATTTACCTAACAATAATTCAATCACAAAACCCCAAAAAGATGCCAAAGCACTTGGTACAACTTTTTCTTTGTTTGTTTTTGGTTTTAAAACGCACTAGCACAATGTAGGTCATATGGCGTCCAAATATGAAAGATGATTTTGGCTAACCTTCGGTGTTACTAACATTATAGATTTTGTTTACTCACACCTGCTGACATACAGCAATCTAAAACCAAGAAATTTCTTTCAGAAAACCTGGTTAAAAAACAACTAGATTATTTACATGATGAAATTCTCCAAAAAGAGTTTGGTACAGTACCCAACTGTTGGTACAGAACCAAACAATGAAGAAAAGTTGAAAATAAGATAATGAATGTACTAAACATGACAAAACAAATGACAAACTGGCAAACAGAGGCTCTCTTAAAAACATTTCAGGGAGAATGGAATTTGAAATTATTTCCAATAATTTGACAAGTACTATTTTCAAATATTGCAGTGTATTACACAATAATTCAAGTTAACATAACCTTTTTACCTTCAAGAATGCATGAAAATATGCCAAGTCTACACAATGCCCCTAGAATGCAAAGCCATTGCAGAGGTCATATACTCTGAAATGATTCAACTAAAAAATGCCTACAAAGTCAGTTTCCCATACTGAGAAAAATATTCATAACCTTGATATTTTTGCAGAAGGTGAAAAAAATATTAAAACAAATGGATAACTCTTATTCTTTAAATTCAGAAATGGAAGAATTCTTAATAACCTAAGTCATTGACATATTATGTCACAGTATTGTAGTTGAATGTTAATATATACCAACATGCTAAAATAGTTTAACCATATTTGTTTACAAAGTGTAAAAAAGGGGGACGACTGAAAAAAATGGATGTTGCAGTTACGTAACTTGACAAGACCATAAATTTGGCTTGCTAAGTGGGTAAAGTCTGAAATGGTTTATTCAAGTTGTGCTTTATAAAAGTCAGGCCTCCGTAAAACATTTCACCTGAACTGTGTGTACAGTGTAGGAATATAGATCAACGGTTCAATTACTATGATATATACTTCCTTTAATGGGCATAAAATAACAAGATATATTTATTGCTTCCAAATTGATAACAAAAATAGTAAGCAAAGAAAATATATAACGTTTTGCTTCTAAACAAACTATAAAAATAATTTACTTTTTCCAGGTGTTTTTTTCTTGTAATAAAAACAAAAACATCAATACATGCTATATTTAAGAATTATCTTAAGCTGTAAACTTTTTACAAAGGAATACTTTTTAAGCACAATTATGAGAAAAGTATTCAATTAAAACAGATACAACATCTAACAGCATCAATAACAAAATATGTTTTTAATTGTTTAAAGTTTAAATCTCTTAAACATGCGGACGAAATAAAGTGTTAGAGATGTGTAACTTGAGTATCCATGCTGCTGCTTCTACATCTATAACATGATCATGAATTTGATACTTGGTATGGGTGGGTGGGGTATGTTTTGTTAATATATATATTGATATAAGTGTCATATTATTCCATTGCTTGATCATTTTCATCTGCTGGCCTAAACGTCATCACCTCATCATAGACTAACTCTGAAAACATTGTAATAGATATTTAAATTAACTCTTTACATTTCAAAGATCTAATAATTTTCTCAGAATTGATTGTATAGAATAATTTGAAATGGCCAGCAACACAAAAGAACCGATGTAAATATTTTCTTTTTCTAACACAATATTGTATATTTCTCACATAAACAAAAATGGTTCATCCTCAATTCTTGTCCAATAGGGTAAGTAAATAAAAAAAATTAGGGCAACATAAATTTATCAATTTTCATATCTTCAAAAACTGTCAGAAAAGCTGTATGTGTAATAAAAGGAATAAAACTTTCTAAAAATCATATAATATACCGAAGAACAGAACATTCTTCTTTCATAATTCCCAGTACAGTCTACTCCACTTTAAATGAGATCAGTACCCCTTATAATGTACATTCTGCTAAGTTACAGCCATTTCACATATGTTTTTCCTTTTGTTTCATACATTTGGTTCAACAAGTGGCTCTGTTAACTCCTGTTACTACATGTTTTGTCACCGAATTGAAATGTTATCACACATGAAAGGGTACTTACTTCTCCACTCTGGTATACTGTATTCCAAATCTTCAAAAGTTTGATCATATTTATTGGCTGTAGGTTCATCAGTGGGATCAGCGTACTGTTTGAGGTAAGGATGTGCGAGGGCCTGCTCTGCTGTGATACGTGTATCAGCATCTAAATCCAACATTCTCTCCAGTAAATCTATTGCTGTAAATACAAATTAGCAAAATACTGAACACATTTCCATTTTTTCCTTCACGTTTATCTTAGTATCATCGATAAATATTTTTGAGCCAGGCTTGTTAATCATTGCCAAGTCCCCTTTTTTTTCAGAATTAAAAAAAATTTACATCATAATTAAAGTATCATAATATAGTTTTAAGAGTTATGTTTGTAGTTCTATTAATTTGGCAACAATAAGTAAGAAATGATATTCATCATCAACTGTATTAAAGATGCATTTTATACAATTTCTCCCAGTTCTGGGTACAATTTTGTAGCAACCATGTTTTATTGCCAAATTATAAGATGAGGTATCAAAGTTCTGAGTTTTGGTTCCTGTATAAAGTCTAGACAGCTTTCTAATTTAAATTCATGCTGAAACATACTAAACATTGCCAGTCAAGTCAAGTTATTTATCAATGAGTACCACACTGAGACAGTGGATAATACATATCAAATATGTGTTTCATTATTATATACAGATTAATTTGCATGTCAAAATATATACATTAGACCATGAGTATCATGCATATCTTTTATATGATCGGCCCATTTTATACCATTGTATTATGTGTCGTATTTTGTGTCCTAACTCAACATCCCTCTAAAACAAAGTAAAGGTTTTGACTATAACATTAATCCATTACCTTAAGTGAGCAACTGTGAGTATTTAAGTATTATTTTTTTTTGTAAAACAATCATTGGGTTTTTTTTCCTAATTTTCCATAGAGAGCCTCTATGTTTGTAGAGCACTTTAAACACAGAATTAAAAAAACCCAACAAACTTTGTGCACACTATCTCATTATCTAGCCTGGCCTGATAGCCCCATACTTTTCCATACAATAACTATCAAGTGTCATGTTGATACCTTTACATGCTTGAATAAAGGGCTTCATTAAAATATTTTGCAAAATAATGATGACACAGCCATCATAACCACCTAAACAAATGAACTAAAAATATAGTAGAGTTAAAACTACATATCAGGGTTTTACCTTTATCTGACTGACTCAACAGATGTGGCAAGGAAAACAACTAGTTTGGCCAAGGGTCAATATTTTAACCTACAGGCTGAAAATACAACCAATTTTAACAGCATTTCAACCAATGATATGAATCCCCAATATGTTAAAAATGATAACCCTGTATATTCTATCAAATTTCAATCATCTGATATCTATAAACTTTACTTTTAAGCTGTCTATGACCACTGGTTGATATTTATATTATTGGAGATAAAATGGATGCACATAAACACACCGGTATTTGCAATGTGAAATGTTTGTTTACAGGTACAAAAATATATATAACTTACCATTAGGATTTGCACCTTGAAAAACTGTTCGGAAATCTTTCTTTTCCCATTTTGGTAACTGTTTGATGTAGTTCCTAGCCTGTTGAAATAAAATGAACATTATTTAATAATAATAATAAATAATTCCTATGTTGACAATTTTCAGATAACATAATAACTTTTGAAATATTTAAACACAAGGACAACTTAAACAACAATAACGTTGAATCAATCATATCAGTTTGACTTTTACTTCCAAAACAGACAAGCTAAAAATGTTTGTGCTTCAATTGCCTTAAATATCTCGGGATTTACACACAAGACTTTGAAGAAGCCATATTTCATCTCCTATTGTTGGTTTAACACAAAGTTTAAACAGTATATTCCTGTTTATTACATGCTTTTCGATGGTTTATAGAAATACATCAGTGAATTAAAACTGATAATTTCACTGTTTGAAATTAAGCCCCTTACGTTGTTTCAGTGAAATACCAGCGTACACAGAACTGGAAACCAACTTAATAACGTGACGTCGTAAATGACGTCACGTTGTATAATTATTTGGCAGCTATTCATTTATTATTGGGTAAAAATGTCCTTTTTAATGTTTGATTGTATGTAATAAAAAGAAAATTTGTTTAGTTTAGTGCAAGATCGAAATATATTTCACCTCGTGAACACCAAAAGTTCACATTTCACTCGTGGCTGCGCGACTCATGAAATATACCTTTTGCTCACTCGGTGAAATATATTCCGATCTTACACTGAACTTAACAAATATCCTCTATATCTACCATACTTAATGATACAACAATGTGAAGAAATTCACAAATCTTTGATATATTGATATAACTGCACAATCAGTATAAAAATTGTCAATCAAATTTTATATATGTTAACAAATGTTTATATTCAGTCACTGACTAAACATCTGGTTACCTTTACTGATCTAATAACATTTTAACATTTTATAGAACCAGTTCCTCTCGTAATTTTCATTTCATTTATCAGTTTTGTAAAATAGTTAAGGAAACTTTATTTCAAATCCCTCAGAAAATATAAGATTTGCACACAGGATAAATTGTTTACCCCTGGCCATATGTCCATAATCATTCCTATAACCAGATATTTTATTTGGAAAATCTGGGTTAAATCCCCAGAAAAAAATTTTTTAAAAGTAAATTTGGGGAAAATTTGTTTAAACCCGAAATAATTATCTGATATTTTTTAAGGATAAAAAAAAAAAAAACTAAAAAACAAACTAAATATGGATGTTTTTTTTAAGGGGGGGGAACATAATCCCAAATACTTTTCTAAATATTTTAGAAATTTTCATGAAGGTTGTAGTACAAAAAATTTTTTTTGGGGTTTCATATAATTTCATAATCGTTTAAAAACGGGCCCCAAATTTTCCCCTTCAAAAATTTATTATTAAAATTTAAATACTTTCCCTTAATCTTTTTTAAATCAATATTTGAATACTTATTAAAAGTCCCCTTCTAGATCGGGTCCATTTAAAAAAAACCCACATCAAATGCAGTCAAATTAAGAAAGCATATACATATACTGAGATCTTAATAGTCCTTTACACAAAGTAATTTGGCCTACTGATTGATGAAACAGGAAAATAAGATGGTGGTGGTTTAGCTCTTATCTTGCTAGCAGCAACTGCATTAAGCCATACAATCATTGCAGACCAAGATCAGCTGGCACATCTGTGATGTCTGATCATGGTCTGCACAGTTGCTCAATCAGAAGCTTTTGAAATTCTCCATAAAAATGATGGGTTTTTTTCCACAGTAAAAGATGGACAAGTCCATTTAAGATAATTATCATGGAAAAGGAATAGAACAGTCCACTAAAATATTACAATAGCATGTCATTAGATCATTGTTTGTAGCCCAGTAATAACACTGTTTTATGGAGAAAAATCTCTAAAAAGACAAAAACTTAAAGGAATTAATGACATTTATACAGACAATTGTATATATACATGATTTGTTTCCTTTTTTCTACATTCTAGCTTGTGTTAAGCTTTGATTGCAAGTAGCTTCTCCTTAAACGGAACTTATTCACAGTTATCCATGTTATATCTTCTATAATAAACATAAAGAACAAAATGTTATATAAATATTATAATTAGCATGCATAATTTTAAAACAACAGACTATATTCATGTCTTCTGGGAGCCTTCCTGTTAGTCTTGCTAGGGGGATGAAGACTAGTACCGGTATATAAAGTTTTAAACAGGACAGTATTTAAGGGTTTAGTAGGGCTGTCATTTAATATCACAATATTAAAATATCACCGCTATCCCATCCAGTGATGGAAATCGGATGAAATTTGTCCCAATCGATCATCGGTTCAGTCGGATAAGACAAAATCGGTAACTTTTCGGATAAAGTCGAGTTAAAAAGAAATAGGGAAGTAACGTTTCTTCCCATGGCACTTGGACTACAACTATATTCAGTAACATGAACTTCATTTAGCAATTTTAAACACAGTTTTAACCTTATATAGTCATAATTTTACGAAATAGATTTTATTTTTCAATGGATGCCAAATAATAACATTCACATCACATTATATTTCTATTGTTTACATCACTTCATGATCCTTTTTTTTCAACGCAAAATTGTCTCTGAGATGATTTTTTGTGATCGGCGAGGTGTTCCTAAAAGAAAATTAACGTCAGAATTAATTCTCTTTGATACTTTAAACATCTTCGACGACGTCGCGGAACAATTTTTTGTGAATCGATTATTGTAGCTTTACATAACAGTAACTGATTATCGGCGACTTGCGACAATCGGAACATCACTAATCCCAACATTCAATTTAATATTGATTTACAACTGAGAATATCAATACAATTTAAAACTCCCTTTTCCCTGCCTTCTGCAAATATCTCTCTATTTAGTCTGAACAGAGGTCACTTCTCCCACTCTATCTCGACTAGCTTGAACCCTGAATGTCTTTTAGTATGTAGTAATGTGATGACTTATACAAGCATCCACAACACCATGATGAGAGTTTATATCATATATATTCAAATGATTTCCATTCAAATAATTTCCACTGCGCTATCTATTTTCATTCAAAGATTGATATTTCGTTGATATTTGGCTATCGATAAATCCATACAAAATTATCCATCAATGACAGCCCTTAGATATAAATACATAGGAATAGAGAATATAAAAGTGCAGTGTAAGTATTATACGGTACCTCTTCACTACTGATCTTAGCTAGTAGTTTCTCACATGGTGAACCAACTAAGGACAAAATTTTCGTAAGCTGATCAATATCTGTTACAAGTTAAGGTACAAACAATCTTTAATCACACACCTGTGCCGATTTTGCGACTCCCTATAAATGGTATTGCACGGCCGTGCATATATTTTGACGTGACATCATTAGCGATATACAAACATAGTGTAAAGACGCGCTAAATGTTAGGGTTATACTTATAGGCCCGTCAATGAAAAAATGACTCTTTTTTCACTTTAAACAGTCTTTATTTTTGGTATGTGATAAATAGAATATTTAAATTTTGTGTAAGTTCATTACTAAATTTATTGAACTTGTTTGAATAAAATAATATTACGCTTGCCAGAGGCTCAACACATAATAACTGTATTTCAACTCGTGCAATAAATTCAGTATTGAACTTACACTCATTCAATATCCTCTTTTTATCTTATCTTGGGTAATTACCACCTCTTTTTTAGTCTGACCATGCCATAGTCAGAGCTACATATGTTTGACATTTACTTTATTTCTCAAGTGTCTTTTCAATCAACTCAGTGTTGTCAGTGATTTTTGTTTTTTCTTGTGCTGTACCACAGCAGCAACAACACATAGTTCATTTACGATCTCTAGAACAACATTTAATAGCTTAGCAGAGAAAACACAAATTTTTTCTGAAACCCATTAGCCAGCGAGATTCTACACATACAACCCAGAGCAGACCAAGACTAACATTCATGTTGTCTCATCACTGTCTGCACTGTTTGCTGTTCAGTCCATACTTATTTAAAGTTATTTTGAATTTCTCTCTAATTTTGTGTTTTGATTGATTTAATTCTGTGTGATTATGTTTAATTTTGATCATTAGTGCTCAAATATTTATTACAAAAAAAAATTATATTTGTATGTGAAGGTACTTTTAGTGATAAAACATTTGTGACATTTACTGATCCCAAACATATGTATAGTCAAATACAAGATCAAAAAAACAGTGTAACAGTCATGCTACATGCAATTTTTAAAAAGGTCGGCCATTTTTTTTAAATGGTTGTCACCTTTCTTATGAATCATGACACATATTTCTTTTTTCAGTTTTTAATGTTTATCACTTTGTCAAGGGAATAAGCATATGGTAAAATGGTCAAATTTGATTCCTAATATTTCATTAAAATTTGTCAATAATGTTGGCAAAAAAATTGAACAAATGAAAGTTTTCTTACAAGACATTAACTACCTTGATAAAATTAAGAAGCATGATCAAAATAAAAATCAATATTTTCATAATTAATTTACAAGACTATATCAATGAAGCACAATGCTATCTGTTTTGTTATGTTACAAATAAGGGGAGGTAAATCAGTAAGGGATGGACTTGAAAGTAACTTTGACATTAATTAGTAATGTAATATGCAAGCTTATTGAAGGTTATCAAATATTAAAACGGATAGAGACCTACTATAACAAGTTATTATATAATATATTGGGTGTGAATATACATTTATAAGAGATATACAAAATGCAGTTTATCTATACAATAACACTTCATTATTGATACAATGTTCTATTTTTAAATTTAATAGAAATATTTCAAATGATGTAGAAAAATAAAACCTTACTAATTACTGTTTTACACGGATCATACTGTAGATATTAGATAATGATAAGAAAAGCTCACTAATAAACACTGAAATATCTTTTGCTTTGAGGGAGTTGCCGGTATATCAATATTACACAGAGTTATGTCCTCTCTTTCAAACACCCTAAACATAAATGAGGATCAGTACAAAAAATTCAAATAAACTTTATTTCTATCCTAAATCTTCTACTAACATCTACACATGCAGATAATAAATTATAGATAAGTCAGAAAGCATTTCTATAGCCGCTAAAATCAGAAATGGCACTCTATCAAAAGTTTAGAAAACTACAGACAGTTTTAATTTTCTAGGACACTAATTCAAAGGCAACAGAAGTAAGAAGCTACCTTATAATACCCCCTGAACAAAAATAGTGAAAAAAAGGTTCACAAATTCAGTAGATGAGTCCATTCCAGATACTACAATCTTTACTTCTAGCTTTAATTGTGAAGGTAACAATAATCTTTAACTTTAACTTATTCAGTACTTGTTACAAGATCTTATACTTATTCACTACTCTTTGCACATGATTGTAACTTGTGGACTAAAACATCTGCTGCAAAAATTACTACATCATGCCATATGCTTGAAATTAAAACATTTGTTTTGGTTTAACTAGAACAATAAAACAGTAAAAGCTTTTTAATTGATATTAATTAAGCATTTTGGAAGTATTAATTTTGTACACAAGGAGCTGAGTTAGATCTAGTTGTGGTTTATGTGAGATATATTATTGTGTGGTAAGGAGAATGTGACAGACATGTATTGTACTACAAGATTTACCTCAGTACTACTGATCTTGTCTAAGAGATTGTCAGATGGTGTGCCCACCAGTGATAGTATCCTAGTTAACTGATCTATGTCCCTTCACAGCATTAAGGAAATTGTTCAAATACCAATTAAATCTATTCTCTTCCCTGTATAAGCTACTTTTTAAGTACTTATTTACATTATAAAGATATGCAGTACAACTTGTTTTGAAATACATCACACAATAAAGTCCAAAATAATGAGGAAACCAAAAAAGCCCAATAGAGGAAGTATAACAAGTATTTGGAAGTTTTTTTTTCTAAAAAAAAATGAATCACGATGCATTCTAAAATCTACGTGTGTATTATTCAATCTTCTATTTCTTCATTAAATTACTAAATGTTTAACAAACAATTATCAATAGTATTGCAAGCAATCCATAAGTCCCCTACCGGTTAGAACCCCAGCAACATTCTGATGGGCCATTGGCCATTCAATTTTTACCAGTGAATGAATGACATGAATGAAACTTAAATCTTTTTTGAGTTCTAAGTTTGTCTATATCAACAGTAATGTGTTAATGTTTCCCTGCCTTAAGTAAGGAAATTATGTTTATACAACCTTGTCATATTATTACCATAGGTGGGATTTTAAAGTAAATCCTATAAGGAAAATGAAGAAGTTGGAGTAAAAAATAACCAATTTCTCGAAAAAAAAATCTAAGGTACAACGCGGACATAATTCTGGAAATAGTCTTGCTAGAGTATTTAACCTTGCTCAAAAATGTTGATAGTGAATAAATAAGAAACATATATATGAAGTTTGAAGTAGATACATTAGGAAATAAGAAGTTATTTAAAAAAGACCCAACTTTTTTTCATAAAAAATTCTAAGTTCAAGGGAGGTACTATTTATACTGATAATTTTTTTTGTGCCAGAGTTGTAAACCTTGTCACATATGATGTGGTTGATGACCAGAAAACTACTGTATTATTTAAAGTTTGAAGTAAACACCTTAAGAAATAAAGAACTTATAGTGAAAAAGCTGAAAAATTTTAAATCAGAAATCTGAAATTCAGGCTATTTGTTGCCATAGCAACCAGAATTTTCAACATAGGAAGAAAAGAAAAGGGATGTGCATAATCTCCATACTCCATCTATCCATATATCAAGTTTTCATAAAAAATATTTTTAGTACTTTTTGCGTTATTCACGGGATCCAGTTTTGTGGATTCGGACGAGACTGAGGGACAGACAGACGGACGGTAAACCTAAAGTCCCCCTCCGGTTAAACCGGTAGGGGACTAAAAAAACTGAATTATCTAAATTCTTCACAGGTAATCTTTATACTGTACTAAATTTTAAAATATTTGATTTTCAAACTGATCCGTATGTTAAAACCTTGCGACATTTCATGAAATTCCCTAAAAAATCATATGCATATATATCAATGCGTGTATGACTATATTAACGTTAAAATATAGTGTGTATAATAGGATACGATCTGTGCCAGGAAACAATGGTCTACCAGTCAACATCTCTGCCATTATACAAACCCACTGACCAATACATCAACTAAAATATACAATACATATGTCCATTTCTCCCTAGTGTCATTTACAGACATAAATGTGTTAGATAAAAATTCTACGTCCATGTATATATCCAATCTGTTTACATTAACAAAACAATTTAATATTGCAGTATCTCTGTGTTATATAACAATTCTGAATTATTCTCCATAACTTTCTCGTGACATATTCAAAATGATTGCATTTTAACAAGAACTTTCCCAATTCAGGTGAACTTTACTACATGCCATAAACTATAAATATATAAAAATATTAGGTTCAGTGTAGTTACTAGATAAAAAACTTCAATGATAATTGTGATTAGTCTGAAACAGCCAGACAGACTATATCATTAAATAAGATAAACTCAGAAGATTACCTGTTTGATTTATAATGCATCCAATTGAGCATAATTTCTGGTGCTCGATACCAACGTGTAAAGCCACATACCCTGTCATCTGATCGTCTGTGTGAACGTGCCAGCCCAAAATCCAATATCTGTCCAACAAACATGTCATATTTGCATATTCTTAATAATATATATTTAAGACAAATCAGGATATTTGTTCGTTTGAGTGAAATATGAAAAATGTTTTCATGAAATAAATGATGTGATTTCATTTATTTTTCATGAGTCAAATCAGCGAGTGAAATATATTCCATATTTCTCGAAAAACAAAAAAAAAACAACATCCTAATTGTACCTTTGAGGAAAAAAATTCTTTACAAATACACGTATTTGCTACGCAGTTGCAATTGTACAGCATGCGGTAACACATTGGTTGATATATGGTGTCACCCATGTTATGCGGTTTGAATTCAATACACAATTTATCACAGCCATCTTTAACCATATTGAAAACCATAAGCAGAGATAATTTCTGATGATGAAATGAAGAATGAAAAAAGCCATTGATCAACAGAGCCATTAAAGGGTTTACCAAGGGCGACATTTTGGGCCCCGCTTTTTTAACATTTTCCTTAAATTGTTTTTGTTATTCTTTAATTTTGTAGAAATATTCTCGGGTAGAAATAAATGTTTATTTAGGGGACTATGTAAAAGGTACAATGTCAATATTCTTCCAGTTTAGTAATAGCAAAAAGGTACCATATGTATAACCAGGTTTGAGAAAACAAGGTCCCCAAGTGTCAAATAGTACCTTTTTTTTGCCATTGAATGCCCTATATAATTTTTTGGGGCACTTATTTTAATGAAAAAGGAACCATGTGTAAATTTGGCCCCCTTTTTGGGCACCAAAAAATTTAGCCCCTTTTAAGGGATTTTTTTTTTATATTTTAAAATTTTTTTTTGCTTGGTCCCCCTTTTTAGTTTTTTAATGAATACACTTTTAGATGTTGAAAAGGGGCAAAAATATCAAATATCCCCGAAAATTGTTTTTGTTTTTAAATTGAGGAATGATAAATGGGGAAGATAATGTATTGTAAAATGACTTCTTCAAAAAACGTCCCCCCTTTTTTAAAAAAAAAAAATTTAATTGACTATCCCCGTGTCAAAAAGATACTGGGTTAAAAGGGAAGGGGAGAACCCTTAAAGGGGAAAAGCGTCCATCTGCAAAAACTAGATTATGATAAATTTAAAAATGGTAAAAACAGAAAAAAAGAGTAATTTCCAAAAATAAAATTCTCTTTTATCCCAAAGAAAAAAAAAAGGGAAAATAATGAAAAACCTATTTATGACTATGATTAAAATTAAAAAAAGATGGGGAATCTGAAAACTATTGAATGTGAAACGAAGGAAATGAACCTTTTTAGCAACAAAACATTAGGAAGGGGGATAGGTTAACTAGATGGGAAAGTCAAAGGGTCAAAAATATTGAAAAAAAAGAAAGAAAATTACAAAAAAGTAAAGTTTAAAAAAAAGGGAAGGGCAAAAAGGGGAAAAATGGGGTTTTTGTTGGGGATGTTTTTTATCTCAAGGCCCTTGGGAAAAAACCCCTTTCTCTTTAGTGAGTGAAACTTTTCTATTCAAGTCCAATTTTAATTAAATTTTTATAGAAAAAATGTTTGTTTTTCATGTATGGGATAAAACAAAATGCAAAGAGAGGCATTTGAAAAAGTTTTCCCGCTTTTAATTTAAAACCCCTTTTAAATTGCCAGAGTGGTAATGTCAAAAAAGTTTTATTTTTTTAGAAATTATACGGGGGGGAAAAAACAGAAATTAAATTTGTAGGCTTGTCCCCTTCTTTTATTAATTTACAAATTCCAAAATTTGACTGATCTCAAAAAAATTTCTTTTTATGGGTTTACCACAGACGGAGTGAAAATTGAAATTTGAAGGGGAAAAAAAACAATTCCGTTAATTATGTATATTTAGTTGTGTTTTATTATATCAATGGGCCCGAAAAAAACAGCCAAACTGGTTGGCAATGAAATTTATAAACCCTGTTTTTTTATTTTAAAAACTCTTTTAAAAACAGTTCTGGAAATCAAAAAACCAAATTTACAGAAAAAAGTAAATGGTGACAGGTGAAAAGGATTTCAGGTAAAAGGGAAACCCCAAAGGGCCGTTTTTTTAAACAAAGCTAATGCAGGATTTTTTGGAAATAAAAATTTAAAATACAGTCTAGAAGAAAGAAAGTATCATGGCAAATGGTGGCCCAAAATAGAAGTGATGATCCAAAACGCCCGTTTTTATTTAAAAAAAAATGACTTGGGTTTTTGTGGGAAAAAAAATTATCCCAAAAAAAGTTTCCCTAATTTAAATTTCCCCTTAAAAAATAAAAAGGAATGAAAAGGGTTTTGTCAGATTTGGGGTCGGATGGAATGAAATTTTGATTTTTTATAAAAAATGTAAAGATTTTTTACATTTTGGCATTGAGATTGATCAAAGAGGGAAAACTTTTAAACCCTGCAATGTTTTATAGTTTTTAATAAATTTATGAAAACACAAAAATTACATATTTTTAAATTTTCCCTTTTGGGAGAGTAAAACTGTAAATAAAAAGAAAGTTTTTTTTTAAAATTGTTGGGAAAAAAAGGGGCAACTGCCCTAAAGGTACTTTTTTTGATATATTGACAGCAAAAGTTTTAAAAACATCAAATCAAAAAAGGGGGCAAGCGAAAATTAAAGGTACCTTCTTGGGTTTGTCGGTCAAAAAATTTATTAGTGCAAAAAGGGGAACCCTTGCGTTTTTAAATTTATTTTAAATTTTCATAATTGTAAATTAAAAAGCTTTTCCCCTTTTTTGAGATTTAATTAAATATTATCTAAATATATGTGAAGTTTTTTTTGCCCCTGCTGTAAAAAACCCGATTTGATATTGAAATTCAAATTTTAAACGCATTTTCTGAAAAAATGAAAATGTCATTTGGGTATTTTTGCTTTAATGGGTGATTTTTTTTTTCTCTCACAATATGTTATATTTTTGGGCTGATAAGCAACTTTTCATGAGAAAAATTAAATATTTGATAATATTAAATTTTTATCACTTTTATTATATATGCGCATTTTGTTTGTGTTATGATGCAATTAAAAGTGAAGTGTTAGTTTCAAAAAACAAAGTGTTTGTAATTACAATTTAATGAAAGAAAATGTTGTCTCCCTCATCCATTTGTTAAAAAAAAGTCAATTTTAAAACTTACTAAAAAGGCATAATTTTGACTAAAAAACAATAATCATTCACTATAAAAGATCATTACTTTAAATTTCCCAAAATTTCATTCACACTATATTGTTTGGGTTTTTTAACCTGAAGTAAAAGTTATTATATAAAAAATACCCGTTTTAATATATAACAATTGTCTTAATAGTGACCCTGTAAAAAAAACATGATAATTATTTTATGCTATATACTACACTTTTATTTAGATGTTAAATTTTAAATGTTTAAATTCCTCTGGCCCTTGATCTACTTATCCATCAATTTAAAAAATTTATAAACTTTTTGAGTGGCCCACCTAAAAAAAATTTTCCTGTGGTGATGGTCAAAACCCCCTTTTTTGGGGCCCCCACTGTTTTATGTAAAAATGTAAAGGAAAAGCAAATGGACCCAATTATGCAGAAGGAAAAAAATAATTTTTGTTGCTAAAAAAGGAAGTTAATAAACCCTGAGAAAGTAAAAAATAAAAAACATTTGAGGACATAATTTGCAAAGAAAAATATTTCTTTTTTTTCTTGATTTTTTTCAAATACATGTAGTTCAAAATTTAGAAAATGTTTTCCCCTGTAAAATTTCCCTGCTAAAGGGATTACTGAAATAAAAAAAATTTTTTTAAATTTATCATACATAATGTAAATATCGTTTCATATTGTAAAATTAAATTAATAAATTTTTACATACGTGTTAAAAAGTGTACAAATCTTGTAATAATGAAAAAACAAAAAAATTTGCTCCCACACCTTAAAAAGTTAAATTTGGCCTGATTTTTTTCCCAAAAACTTATCTTTAGTGTTTTGCATTTTTTATGGTTACTTCCCCAAAATTTTGTATTAAATTAAAAACATAAAGTGATTTTATTGCATAATAAAATGTTTTGGATCCTTAGAGAAAAATGCGGGTCATTTTTGAATGTTGCATTTTGTTTTTTAATGGCATATTTCTCTATTAAAATGTCATCTTTAAAAAAAAAATTAAATTAAAATGACACTGCTATAGGGACTTTACACTTGGATTTTTTTTTCAAAATTCAAAGAAATTGAAGGTATGATATCACTTATTTATGTGTCCCTTTTTTTGGGGTCCCTCTCTGAAAAATGTATAAAGTTCCAGGGTTTTTTATGACTTGATAATCCCAAATAATTTTGCAAAATTTAAAAATTTTTTTAAAAGTTTTGGCTAATCCCTGGGTTATATTTATCAAATTTAAGGTCTATTCTTATATTAAAATCAGAAACTTTTTAACACTATAATGTATTTTTTTCATACGGTTTTTTTGGAAATTTTTATTAAAAATTCAAACAATAATAAGGGCATCAGTTTTATATATAGTTTATCCCTTTAAAAGCATTTTTCATGATTAATTACAAAACAATTTTGAATTTCCTTATTGCTGCAGCACTTGAAAAATAAAAAATTGAACATGATCATCGTAAGTCTCTGTTTTTTTTATAATTTTGTTCTATTTCACCCATTAAAGCTGTCACCATGTACCTAAAAACATAGAAGAATATTTTAATAGTAAGTTTGGGAAACCAAAACAACTATTTCTCATATTAAAAGCTAAAAAAAACCCAAAAAGTATGTTTTTTATGGAATATATAAATATATTGAAAAAAAAATAGTTACAATAACCAATTAATTTTATAAAGTAATGAATCAAAAATTGCCCCTCTGAGATTCCTGTTGAAAAGTGAATCCTTCAATTTTAAATAGATCTGTGACTCATTCATTTTTTGAAGAATCCCACAGGCAATGCTACAACCAAAAATTTTGAGTATAGGTTTTAGCGTTTAGACAAGATTTAAAACTATTTATCCCTTAGTTTCCCCGTCTACGTACATGAAAAAAGTGACCCCTGGAAAAATTTTATAAAATTATGCAGTATCCCATATACATGTATTATATTTATATAGCTTTTTTTTTTTTTTTATTTTTTTTTCAAAAAAAAAAGGGGTTTTTTTTCCTCCCACTTTCACTGTTATGAAAAAAAATACATCAAAAATCCTAAGCCCTTAGATTTGGAAAAGATGTTTTTTTTTTAGTTTCCTGAAAATGATTCCCCAAGTGCCCATGGGTCAAAGTAATTTTTGATCCAGGGAAAGGGTTGTGTAAATTTTTTTTTTTAGTAGACAATGCACTACAAGTATTTAACCCTAGGCCCTTTAAACACACACAAGAGTTTTTTTCTATACCTGTTGAGTAAAAATAGTATGAAATAGTGCGGGATATTTTGGTTTGAGAAAAGGGTTTTTTTAATCTTAAGGGGATGCTAATCAAGTTTGCAAGTTCTATGTTTGCTTTTTTGGGGAAAAAATTTTTTGTGTGTTCCCTTTTAAAAAGTCATTGTAAATCAACCCTTAGATGGAAAAATTTATATAAATTTGTAGAGGGCCCCCCAAAAATATTCCAAGAAAATATTTTTAAGTCAAATTGATTCAGGAGACATTGTGAATTGTGGATACCAAACGTATCATGGCGCGCATGTTATTAAAAAAACCCTGCCCTCTGGCCCTATGTATCGGGTGTGCTCTTTAAAAGTACTTATTAAAACTATTGTTAACTATTATGTTATATACTAAGCAGAAGAGACAAATTAATTCATAAAATCTTAAAAAATTCATTTTTGGCGTAAAACCTTAGCAACCCAAAATAACCTTAAATACAAAAAAAAAATTAGAAAATTTGGCTAAATAGACCTAAACTTTTGTCTTGTTAAAGAAGTAGAGGACTAAAAAGTGAGTTATCCATTCATGTTAAAGGATAAAGTTAAATTGATAAAAAATTCTAAAAAAAAAACACTGCCCGTTTTAACATTCAACATTGGGGAGTAGCTAGCTTAAGTTAGGGCCCTTAATTAGGTTTCTCAAAAAAACAATAAAAATATCCTTCTGAGGTTAAAAATTTTGAAGAATAAAAAAAAATTTAAAATGTATGTACAAGTTGTATTTTATTGATTTTTTAAGAAGAAAAACTATAAACACTGCCACCCATTATGTCACAAGATTAATTTAAAACACTAATGAGGGGGGGGGGTTGGCTTCAAGAATATTTGTTATCATTTGATTAAAGTTAAATACCGAAAAGATACTCCCCTTTTTTTGGGATATCACATTTTCAGTGGGTATGTTTTTAAAAAAGTAGTTTCTGTTGTACGTTTTGCATGTTTGCAGATTGAAAGGGCCCTTGCCTTCTTATAGCTATTTTATGGTTTTTTTTTTGTCCAAAGAGAACTGTAAATGTATTATGAAAACTTTACTATTAGTAAGTGCTAAATGTTATGTTATAAAATTTCTATGCGCTAATGGAAGGAAGTTGTACCGAGGGGCCCGTACGGCTCCCCAAAAGTTCTAGCAGTAGTGAGTCACGGACTCCCCGGCACCTGTATTGGTAGCCGTCGGAACTTTTCAAAATTATATAGAAGTTAAAAATGCATATGTTATTTTGTGCCCTTTAAACACGTTTTTTAAATCAAATTTGCATTTGTCTAGTGTTTCATTTAAAAAAGTGCTCCGCAATTTTGAAAAAAAAAAAAAAAAAATGAATCCCGATAAGCTTGTTAATCTTTTAAAAGTTTAAGTGTCAAATTCATGTTTTCGCCCTTAATTTTCACTTATGATTTGTTAAAAGAAATTGAAAATTTAGCCTGGATCGAATAAATCTGACGGAGGGAATAAATAAAAAATAAAGAAAGTAATTAAAACGGTGAAAAAGGAAAAATAATTTAAAAATCAATTTCCTTTAAAGATGGACATGGACAAAATTTCCCATATCTAATTATCAGAGCCAACAATTTTTTTGGGTTTTTTTTTTGTTTGTTTTTGTTGTTTTTTTTTAATTTTAAAAAATTTAAATTTAAGAAAAAAAGGATTTTTATAAAAATTTTTTAAACTATTTCAAATTGAGTTATTTAACGCAACCAAGTAATTTTTTTCTGTAGCCCCCGTCGATTTCTCTAAAAATAACATTCTTGCTAAAATCCTCGTTTAAAATCATAATTAATATGCACTTTGGCCCCCCATATATTTTTGAAAAATGCCGTCGGTGCCAATAATGGGGTCCTGGTAGTCGTAAAGTGACTCACGTACGGCTAGAATTTTTGCTACCGTACGGGCCAATTTGAAAATTTTAATCCCCTTTAGTAAAAAAAGATAAGACAAAAGGTGATAAAATTTTTTTAAAATAAAAATTTTAAGTTTATACAGGAATTTTTACAAATTCAAAATTTGGGTCCCAAAATTCGAAGAATGGAACCAATATAATACGAAGGCTCAACTATAGCCAGACTGCTGGTGCTCATCTTTTAAAGCAAAATGGGGGGGAATTTTTTTGTCAAAAGATTTTGTATATGGAGTAAATTAGAGCTAATTTTGATTTTTATTTACCCTGTTGTGTTGTTCATATTGATGTTTAAGTTTAAAATTGACCAACATTGGAATAATGTCTTCTGTGTTGATGGATCAAAGGATTATTTATGAGACAATATTGGAAATGGAATAATGATGAGGGTTGGTGTGCCGATTTTTTCCTGCAAACATTTTTATCTTGTGCATAGACATTGAAATATTCATTTTTTTCAAATCGGCTTATGTTAAGTTTTTTGTATATTTACCGTATGATATATGATAAGTACATATGCTGGGATCATTGACAAATATGCATTTTATTTGGATTTTAGAGGCGTTTTAAGCTCATACCTCAGTGTCTGTGGTGGATTCAGCATTTGGCGTGTTTTACAATTTGTTAACCTATATTATTATAACGATTATATTTTGTTTAGACTATCCAACACAGTGCAAGTCCCTTGGTTTGTACTCAGTAAGTTTATAACAAGATTTCATCTTTTCTTTAGTCTGATTAACGATTCAATTTGACAGCGACATGAAGGCACATTGTTCATTATTTAATCCTTTAACTTATTTACAAAAATAAAATCTGACAAGTAGAAACTTACATACTTGCCGTTGGAAGGCAGACCTACTTGGCTGAGAAACTGGTAAGATTTGACACCTCAAACAGTTTTTGTTTTAGATTATACACGGTAAAACCAGTCTTATGTTGGCATACGGCCATTTAGTCGTGAAATGTAATACGAAAACATGACCAGTTCAATGTTGCGCAGCAACACAGAGTAAAGTTGGTTTAAGTTTTAATTTAAATTTTTTGTTTCGCCTTTCCTAACTTCCGGATTTTGTTCAAGACGAAGGACAAGATGTGGACTGGGTATTAATACTTTGTTTTTATACACCTCTTCGTTTAGTCAAAATACAACAGTCAACAGGCTCTCTTGACCAGCAAATATAGAATATACACAAAGAATAGTAATGAACAAAAAGTTTAGAAATATAGCTCTCATCTCTTATTTATAATAGTAGATATAGCCGAAAACTGTCAATTAAGTAATTTGAATTCTGAGCGCGCGTACAGCGCGAAGGATTCAATATTTTATTATTGTCAGTTTGCTAAAACATTAATATTGTACATTTCTAGCACAAAAATACATTTTTCTAATTTTTCGATAGATAACATGATATTTGATAGTAAAAGTAGTAATTTAAGTAAGATATAAGCCCCAAACTGACCAATAAGTAAAATATTGAATTCCCTTCGGCGCTGTACGCGCCTCATGAAATTCAATATTTTACTTATTGGACAGTTTTCGGCTTATATCTACTACTTATAAATAAGAAGGATGAGAGCTATATTTCTAGACTTTTTGTGTCTTTACTATTCTTTGTGGTATTATTCTATATTTGCTGTGTTTCAAGAGAGCCTGTTGGACTGGTGTGTATTTTGATAGAACGAGAGGGTGTTATAAAACAAAGTATTAATACCCAGTCCACATCTGTCCGTTCGTCTTGAACAAAATCCGGAAGTTTAAGGAAAGGCGAAACAAAAATTAAGTTAAAACTTAAACCAACTTTACTCTGTGTTGCTGCAACATTGAACTGTCATTGTGTTGTGCGTATACATTTCACGACTAAATGGCCGGTAGGCAACATTTAAAGGACGGGTTTTACCGTGTAGAACTAAACAAAACTGTTTGGGAGGTTCCAAATCGTTACCAGTTTCTCAGCCCAGTAGGGTCTGGCGCATACGGACAAGTATGGTAAGTCTACTTGTCAGATTTTTATTTTTTTGTAAAAATAAGTTAAAGATTAAATAATTGAACAAGGTGCCTTCATGTCGCATGTCAATTTGAATCGTTAATCAGCTAAAGGAAAGATGAAAATGCTTTGTTATAAACTTACTGAGTACAACCACAGGGACTTGGCACAGTGTTGGGATAGTCTAGAACAAAATATAATCTGTATAGATAATATAGGGTTAGACAAAGGGTAAAACACGCCAAATTGTCTGAATGCCACCACAGACACTAGGGGTATGGAGCTTAAAACGCCTCTAAAATCCAAATAAAATGCATATTTGTCAATGATCCCAGCATATGTACTTATCATATATCATAAATATAAAAAAAACTTAACATAAGCCGATTTGAAAAAAATGAATATTTCAATGTCTATGCACAAGATAAAAATGTTTGCAGGAAAAAACCAACCCTCATCATTATTCCATTTCCAATATTGTCTCATAAATACTCCTTTGATCCATCGACCCAGAAGACATTATTCCAATGTTGGTCAATTTTAAACTTAAACATCAATATGAACAACACAACAGGGTAAATAAAAATCAAAATTAGCTCTAATTTACTTCATATACAAAATCTTTTGACAAATTAAAATTGCCCCCCAGCTTTGTCGTATAAGATGAGCACCAGGCAGTCTGGCTATAGTTGGAGCCATTCGTATTATATTGGTTCCATTCTTCGAAGTTTGGAGCCAATTTTGAATTTGTAAAAATTTCCTGTATAAACTTATAATTTTACTTTAAAAACTTTATCTACCTTTTGCTCTTATCTTTTTTGTAGCTGAAGGGATTCAAATTTCAAATTGGCCCGTACGGCTAGCCAAAAGTTCTAGCCGTACGTGAGTCACATACGACTAGCCAGGACACACTGTATTGGCTAGCCGTACGGCACTTTTCAAAAATATATGGAAGGCGAAAGTGCATATGTTAATTATGACTTTAAGCGAGGATTTTAGTCAAGAATGTTTACTTTTTAGAGATTAATCGACGTGTTGGCTACAGTAAAAAATGTACTTTGGTTGCAGTTAAATAACATCAATTGAAATAGTTTACAAAATTTTGATAATAATCCTTTTTTGTTTCATTAAGTGTAATTTTTAAATTGAAAAAAAAACAACAACAAACAAACAAACAAAAACACCGAAAATAATTGTTGTTGGGCTCTGATAATTACGGTATAGAAGTTTGTCCATCGTCCATCATTAAGGAAAGTTTGCATTATTAAATTATTTTTCCTTTTCACCGTTTTAATTACTTTCTTTTTATTTATTTATTTATTCCCCTCCGATCAGTATTTATTCGATCCATGTGCTTAATTAACGTTTTAACAATTCATCTTTCATACAAATCATAAGCATGAAAATTAAGGACGTTATAACATGCAACTTTGACACTTAATCTTATTAAGATAGATTATACAACGCTTACTCGTATTCATTTTTTTTTTTTTTTTTTTGCAAAATTGCGGAGCATCTTTATTAAAGTGAACACACTAGGACAAATGCAGAGATTTGATTAAAATCGTCGTTTAAGGACACAAAATAACATATGCATTTTCAACTTCTATATAATTTTGAAAAGTTCCGTACGGCTAGCCAATACAGTGTGTCCGGGCTAGTCGTACGTGACTCACGTACTGCTAGAACTTTTGGCTAGCCGTACGGGCCCGTACGGCTAGCAACTTCCTTTCCATTAGCGCATAGAAATGTCATAACATAACATTCATGCTTTACTTACTAGATATGTAAATGTTTTCATAATACATTTACAGTTCTGCTGTGGACAAAAAGACAAACCATAAAGTAGCTATAAAGAAGTTGTCAAGGCCCTTTCAATCTGCAATACATGCAAAACGTACATACAGAGAACTACGTATGTTAAAACATATGCAGCATGAAAATGTGAGTATCCAGCATGAAAATGTGAGTATCTTTTCGGTACTTTATAATCATTAATCATTAATGAGTAACTGAATATATTCTGTGAAGCCAACCCCCCCTCCTCATTAGTGTTTTAATTAAGTCAGTGTGACATAATGGGGTGGCAGTGTTTATAGTTTTTTCTTCTTATATAAAATTCAATAAATACAACTTGTACATACATTTTAAGAATTTCTTCTTTATTCTGTCATATATTTTGAACCTCATGAAGGATATTTGTTATCTGTTTGATTTGCAGAAACCTAATTTGAAGTGCCTAACTTAAGGTCTAGCTATCTGCCCAATGTTGAATGTTACAACTGGCAGTGTTGTTTCTGCTTAGAATCTTTTGATCAACTTAACTTTATCCCATTAACATGGAGATGGATAACTCACATTTTAGGTCCTCTACTTCTTAATCAAGACAAAAGTTTAAGGTCTATGTTCAGCCAGTAATTTTCTATATTTTTTTTTTTGTATTCAAGGTTATTGGATTGCTAGATGTTTTCACGCCAACTGAGACTTTTGAAGATTTTGATGAAGTGTAAGTTAGTCTCTTCTGCTTAGTATGATATACATAATAGTTAAACAAGTAGTTTAATAATGTACTTGTAAAGAGCACACCTGAGTACATAGTGTCCAGAGGTCAGGTTTTGTAATAACATGCTGTCTGCCATGATACGTTTGTTGTTATCCACAATTCACAATGTCTCCTGAATCAATTTTGACTTAATAATATTTTCATTGGAATATTTTTGGGTGGCCCTCTACAAATGTTATATCAATGATTTCCATCTAAGGTTGATTGTTACAATGACTTGTATAAGGAACACACATTAAAATTCTTCTCCAAAACTGCAATACATAGAACTTGCAAACTTTGCATGTAGCATCACCTTCAAGAGTTAAATAAACCTTGTCTCAATAGCCAAAATTGATCCCGCACTAGGTTTCAGTCACTATTTTTACTCAGACAGGTATAGAAAAAAATCTGCTTGTGTGTGCTTAAGGCCTAGGGTGTAAATACTTGGTATGTGGCATTGTCTACTAAAATAATAAATTACACGAACCTTTTGCCCTTGGATCAAAAATGACTTTGACCCATGGGCACTTGAGTTAATCAGTTATTCAGGAAACTAAAATAAAACATCTTTTGCTCAGAATCAACAAGGCTTAGGATTTTTGCATGTATCTTATTTTCATCAACAGTGAGAAGTGGGGAGGAAAAAAAACACCTTTTTTTTTTTTTGAAAAAGAAATAAAAAAGAAATAAAAGCTTGATATAAATCATAATACATGTATATAGGATACTGCATAATTTTATAGAATTTTCCTACGGGTCACTTGGTTTTCATGTACGTAGACTGGAAACTAATGGAAAAATAAATTTAAATCTTGTCTGAAACTGCTCAACCTATAGCTCAGATATTTGGTATGTAGCATTGCCTGTAGGATTCTTCTAAACATGAATGAGTCACAGATCTATTTTCAAATTGAAGGATTGCGACTTGTTCGAACAGTGAATCTCAGATGGGCAATTTTGAGTCATCATTACTTTATAAAATTGAGATTTGTGTGTATTTGTGAACTATTTTTATTCATATATATGTTATATATGTCCATAGAAAAACATACTATTTTGGTTCTTTATTAGCTTGAATATGAGAAATAGTGTTGTGTGTTCCTAAACTTACTATTAAAATATTGCTTCTATGTTTTCAGGTACATGGTGACAGCTTTAATGGGTGCAGATATGAACAATATTATAAAAACACAGAGACTTAGCGATGATCATGTTCAATTTCTTATTTATCAAGTGCTGCGAGCAATGAAGGTAAATTCAATATTGTTTTGTACAGTTAATCTATGAAAAATGCTTTAAGTGTATAAAGCTATATATAAAACTGATGCCTGTGATTATTGTTTGAATTTTGAATAAGAATTATTCCAAAAAACCTGTATGAAAAAAATACATTAGTAGTTGTTATAAAAGTTGCTGAGTTGATATATGAGAGAATAGAGCCTTAATTAGATAAATATAACTCGAGGCATTAGCCAGAAACTTGTAAAAAAATTTTGAAATTATGCAAATTGATTTGGCATTGATCAAGTTCATAAGAAAACCCTGGAACTTTATACATTTTTCAGAGAGGCACCAGAAATAAGGCACACATAAATAAGGTGATATCATACCTTCAATTGCTATGTGAATGTTATGAGAAAAAAATCCAAGTGTAAAGTCCATATAGCAGTGTCATTTTAATTAATTTTGTTTTTAAATGATGACATTTGAATAGAGAAATATGCCATAAAGAACAAAATGCAACATTCAAACATGACCCGCATTTTTCTCTAAGGATCCAAAGCATGTGTTATTATGCAATAAAATCACTGTTGATGTTCTATATTTAGATACAAAATGTAGGTGAAGTAACCATAAAAAATGCAACACACTAAAGATAAGTTTGGAAACAAATCAGGCCCAATTAAGCTTGTTATGAGGTGTGGCAGCATTTATTTGTTGATGTCATTATTACAAGATTTGTACACTGATTTAACACGTCATCATAAAATATTATTAATTCAATTCTTACAATATGAAACGATGATTTACATTATGTATGATAAGTTAACAAAAGTTTTTTTTTTATTTCAGTATATCCATTCAGCAGGAATTATACACAGGGTAAGCATTTACTAAATTTTGAACTTACATGTATAGAAAAGAAGTCAAGAAAACAAGATTGAAGATATTTTACTTTGCAAATTATGCTCCTCAACATGTTTTGATATTTCTTACTTTCTCAGGGTTTATTCAACTCTGCCTTATAGCAACAATAATTATTTTCTTCCTTCTGCATAATTGGATCCAGTTTGCTCTCTTCACATTTGTTACATAAAACAGTGGTTGACCAAAAGATGGATTTTGACCATGCACCACAGGAATTATTTTTAGGTGGTCCACTCAAGAAGTTGTATAAATTGTTTCAGTCTGATGGATAAGTAGATCAAGGGCCAGAGGAATTTTAACATTTTGAAACTTGAGACATCTATAATAAAAGCGTAGTATATAGCAGTAAAATAATGTGAAAAGCATCAAATCATGGTTGGTTTTACAGGTCTGACTATTAGAGACAATTGTTATCATATTAAAGCGGCTATTTGTTATGATATAAGTAACTTTTACTTTCAGGATTTAAAACCAAGCAATATAGCTGTGAATGAAGATTGTGAATTAAAGGTAATGATCTTGCTTATAGTGACATAGATTAGTTGTTTTCAGTCAAAATATATGTCCTTGTAAGTAAGTTAATATTGACTTTTTTTACACAAATGGTATGAGGCAGACAACATTTACTTACATTATAATTGGTAATTACACAACATCTTTGTTGTTTTTTATGAAACTAACACTGTCACTTGTTAATTGCATCAGGTAACACAATCAAAATGCTGCATATATGTTGAATAAAAGTGATAAAATTGAATATTATCAAATATTTAATTTTACTCATGAAATAAGTTGCTATATCAGCCAAATATATAACATATTTGTGAGAGAAAAAAACAAATCACCCCATTAAAGCAAAAAGGTACCAAGTGACATTTTCATGTTTTCGAGAAAATCGCGTTTAAAGATTTGAAGTTCAATATCAAATCAGGTTTTTACAGCATGGCAAAGAAACTTCACATATATTTAGATAATATTTGAATGTACATGCTCAAAAAGTTGGAAAGCTTATATATTACTAATTAGTGATAATTAATCAATTAAACGCAATGGTTCCTTTTTGCACTAATAAATATTTTGACCGACAAATGCAAGAAGGTACCGTATGTTCGCTTGACCCCTTTTTGCATTGTATGATTTTTAACATTTGCTGTCGAATATATCAAAAAAAGGTACCATATGGCAGTTGGCACCTTTTTGTCCCAACAATATTAACAAAAAGCATCATTTAGTTACAGTTTTACTCTACAATAATGCAAATAAAAATATGTAATTCTTGTGTTTTCAGTAAATGTCTGATATAACTATCACATTGCATGTTTTGAAAGTCTTCCTCTGTGATCAATCTCAATGCCTATGTCAAAATCTCTTACATTGTTAGTCAAAATCAGAATCATTCTCATCCGATTCCATCGTGACATAACCCTTTTCATTCCTGTATGTTTGTTAAGTGGCATTATAATTATGGAACTCTTTTGGGATAATTTTCTTTGCCCACAAAGTAACCAAGTCATTTTTCTTTTGAATAGAAACTGGCGGTTTTGGTATCATCACTTCATATCTTGTTCACCATTTGTCCACTGATACTTTCTTTCTGTCTAGATTCTGTATTTTGAACTTTTATTTCCATAAAATCTTCTGCATTGAGCTGTTGTTTACAAAAACTGACTTTGGGCTTCCTTTGGTACCTGCATCCATTTCACCTGTCACCAGTTTACTCTTTGTCTGTCAATGGATGTTTTGAGTCTCAGACACTGTTTTTTAAAAGAGTATTTGAAATCAAAAACATGGTTATATAATTTCATTGCACAACCATGTTTGGCTGTGTTTTTCTGGCCAGTGATATAAGAGAACACAACTAAATGATACATAATTATACAGGAATTGTTTTCTTTGCCCCTTCAAGAGTCAAGTTGTCACTCCGTCTGTGTGTGACCCGATACAAGAAATTTGTGATGATCAGTCTTAAATTTGGAACTTGTGATAATATAAAAGAAGAGACACAGCTACGAATTAATTTCTGCTTTGTCCCCCGTATGAATCTGAAAAATAATGACTTATTTGACATTACCACTCTGGCAAGTAAAAGGGGCTTTTATTAAGCAGGAAGCTATTTCACATGCCTCTCTTTGCAGTTTGTTTTATCCCATACATGACATACAACATTTTTGTCTCATAAGGAATATACTGTCAAGTTGTGTACTTGAATAGTAAAGCTCACTCACTAAAGAGCAAGGGGTTGTTACAACGGCCTTGAGATCAAAACATGCAACAAAAACGCATGTGTCACCTTTTGCTCCTTACTTTATTTTTAAACTTTACTTCTTGTGAATTTTCTTTCGGTTTTTGATGTTCAATATATTGATCCTTGATCGTGCCATCTAGTGTACCTATGCCTTCCTATATGTATGTTGCTTAACAGGTTTCATTTCCTTCGTTTCACATTCAATAGTTTACAGATTCCACATCTTTTTTAATTTTTAAGTCATAGTCATAAGATAGGTATTCAGTTATTTTCAGTTGTTTTTTTTCTTGTATAATGAGATTTCATTTTAGGAAATTACTCTTTATGCTGTTTCACCATTTTAACTTTATCATAATCTAGTTTATTTGCAGATGTACGCTTCCCTGTCAAGCTTCTCCTTCCATATAACCCATGTATCTTGTTGACACGAGTATAGTCAATTACTTTTCTTTTAACGTCCACGTTTTTGTGAAGAAGTCATTTATACAATATCATTATCTTCACACTGTTATCATTCCTCAATTTAAAACAGAAACAATTATCTGGGATATATTGTTATATTTGATGTCCTTATCAACATCTAAATTGTGTATTCATTAAAAAGCTAAAAGGTACCAAGCAAACAATTTAATATATAAAATAATCTTAAGGGACGTAAATTCTTTGTGTGCAGAAAGGGACCATGTGACACATGGTTCCTTTTTGCATTAAAATAAGTGCTCAAAACTTATATAGTCATTCAATGCAAAAAGGTACTATGTGACACTTGGTACCTTTTTGCTCAAACTGGTATACATATGGTACCTTTTTGCATTACTAAACTGGAAAATATTGACATTGTACCTTTTTACATAGTCCGTAAATAAACATGATACTACAGAGATATTTCTACAGATTAAAGATAACATTAAAACATAATGGAAAATGTTAAAAAGTCATTTTTGGCCAAAATGTCGCTTGGTACCTTTTTGCTTTAATGGGGCGAAATATGAAAAATAAATATGAAAGCGGGGAACTTGTATTTATTTTGGGACTACTTCCTCTGAAGTGTCTCTGTTGCCATCAATGGCGTGAGCTATTCATTTCATCATCAGAAATTATCTGCTTATGGTTTTCAATATGGTTAAAGATGGCTGTGATAAATTGTGTATTGAATTCAAACCGCATAACATGGGTGACACCATATATCAACCAATGTGTTACCGCATGCTGTACAATTGCAACTGCGTAGCAAATACGTGTATTTGTAAAGAATTTTTTTCCTCAAAGGTACAATTAGATGTTGTTTTTTTGTTTTCGAGAAATATGGAATATATTTCACTCGCTGATTTGACTCATGAAAATAAATGAAATCTCATCATATTTCGTGAAAACATTTTCCATATTTCACTCAAACGAACAAATATCCTCATTGTCTTAAATATATATTATTAAGAATATGCAAATATGACATGTTTGTTGGACAGATATTGGATTTTGGGCTGGCACGTCACACAGACGATCAGATGACAGGGTATGTGGCTACACGTTGGTATCGAGCACCAGAAATTATGCTCAATTGGATGCATTATAATCAAACAGGTATCTTCTAGTTCATCTTATTTAATGATATAGTCTGTCTGGCTGTTCAGACTAATCACAATTATTTCATTGAAGTTTTTTAGTAAGGCATTGTTCTACCACAGAACCTAATATTTTTATATATTTATAGTTTATGGCATGTAGTAAAGTTCACCTGAATTGGGAAAGTTCTTGTAAAATGCAATCATTTTGAATATGTCACGAGAAAGTTATGGAGAATAATCAGAATTGTTATATAACACAGAGATACTGCAATATTAAATTGTTTTGTTAATGTAAACAGATGGATATACACATGGACGTAGAATTTTTATCTAACACATTTATGTCTGTAAATGACACTAGGGAGAAATGGACATATGTATTGTATATTTTAGTTGATGTATGGTCAGTGGGTTGTATAATGGCAGAGATGTTGACTGGTAGACCATTGTTTCCTGGCACAGATCGTATCCTATTATACACACTATATTTTAACTTATATAGTCATACACGCATTGATATATATGCATATGATTTTAGAATTTCATGAAATGTCACAAGGTTTTAACATACGGATCAGTTTGAAAATCAAATATTTAAAATTTAGTACAGTATAAAGATTACCTGTGAAGAATTTAGATAATTAGTTTTTAGTCCCCTACCGGTTTAACCGGAGGGGACTTTAGGTTTACCGTCCGTCTGTCTGTCCGTCAGTCTGTCCGTCCACAAAACTGGATCCCGTGATAACGCAAAAAGTACTAAAAATATTTTTATGAAACTTGATATATGGATAGATGGCAGTATGGAGATTATGCACATCTTTTTCTTTTCTTCCTATGTTGAAAATTCTGGTTGCTATGGCAACAAATAGCCTGAATTTCAAGATTTCTGATTTAAATTTTTCAGCTTTTTCACTATAAGTTCTTTATTTCTTAAGGTGTTTACTTCAAACTTTAAATATACAGTAGTTTCTGGTCATCAACCACATCATATGTGACAAGGTTTACAACTCTGGCACAAAAATTATCAGTATTACCTCCCTTGAACTTAGAATTTTTATGAAAAAAAGTTGTCTTTTTTAAATAACTTCTTTATTTCCTAATGTATCTACTTCAAACTTCATATATATGTTTCTTATTATCACTCAACATTTTTGAGAAGGTTAAATACTCTAGCAAGACTATTTCCAGAATTATGTCCGCGTTGTACTTAGATTTTTTTTCGAGAAATTGGTATTTTTTACTCCAACTTCTTCATTCCTTATAGGATTTACTTTAAAATCCCACATGGTAATAATATGACAAGGTTGTATAAACATAATTTCCTTACAAGGCAGGGAAACTTAACACATTACTGTGATATAGACAAACTTAGAACTCAAAAGATTTAAGTTCATTCATGTCATTCATTCACTGGTAAAATTGAATGGCCAATGGCCCATCAGAATGTTGCTGGGGTTCTAACCGGTAGGGGACTTATGGATTGCTTGCAATACTATGATAATTGCATTTAGTAATTTAATGAAGAAATAGAAGATTTGAATAATACACACGTAGATTTAGAATGCATCGTGATTCATTTTTTTTTAGAAAAAAAAACTTCCAATACTTGTTATACTTCCTCTATTGGCTTTTGGTTTCCTCATTATTTTGGACTTTATTGTGTGATGTATTCAAAACAAGTTGTACTGCATATCTTTATAATGTAAATAAGTACTTAAAAGTAGCTTATACAGGGAAGAAATAGATTAATTGGTATTTGAACAATTTCCTTAATGCTGTGAAGACATAGATCAGTTAACTAGGATACTATCACTGGTGGGCACACCATCTGACAATCTCTTAGACAAGATCAGTAGTACTGAGGTAAATCTTGTAGTACAATACATGTCTGTCACATCTCCTTACCACACAATAATATATCTCACATCAACCACAACTAGATCTAACTCAGCTCCTTGTGTACTAAATTAATACTTCCAAAGTGCTTAATTAATATCAATTTTACTGTTTATTGTTCTAGCTCCACCTAAACAAATGTTTTAATTTCGAGTCTATGGCATGATGTAGTAATTTTTGTAGCAGATGTTTTAGTCCACAAGTTACAATCATGTGCAAAGAGTAGTGAATAAGTATAAGATCTTGTAACAAGTACTGAATAAGTTAAAGTATAAGATTATTTTTACGTTCACAATTAAAGCTAGAAGTAAAGATTGTAGTTTCTGGAATGAACTCATCTACTGAATTTTGTGAACCTTTTTTTCACTATTTTTTGTTCAGGGGGTATTATTAGGTAGCTTCTTACTTCTGTTGCCTTTGAACTAGTGTCCTAGAAAATTAAAACTGTCTGTAGTTTTCTAAACTTTTGATAGAGTGCCATTTCTGATTTTAGTGGCTATAGAAATACTTTCTGACTTATCTATAATTTATTATCTGCATGTGTAGATGTTAGTAGAAGATTTAAGATAGAAATAAAGTTTATTTGAATTTTTTGTTCTGATCGTTTAGGGTGTTTGAAAGAGAGGACATAACTTTGTAATATTGATATACGGCGACTCCCCTCAAAGCAAAGATATTTCAGTGTTTATTAGTGAGCTTTCTTTATCATTATCTAATATCTACAGTATGATCCGTGTAAAACAGTATTAGTAAGGTTTTATTTTCTACATCATTTGAAATATTTCTATTAAATTTAAAATAGAACATTGTATCAATAATGAAGTGTTATTGTATAGATAACCTGCATCTTGTATATCTCATAAATGTATATTCACACCCAATATATAATAACTTAGTAGGTCTCTATCCGTTTTAATATTTGATAACCTTCAATAAGCTTGCATATTACATTACTGACTAATGTCAAAGTTACTTCAAGTCCATCCCTTACTGATTTACCTCCCCTTATTTGTAACATAACAAACAGATAGCATTGTGCTTCATTGATATAGTCTTGTAAATTAATTATGAAAATATTGATTTTATTTTGATCATGCTTCTTAATTTATCAAGGTAATGTCTTGTAAGAAAACTTTCATTTGTCAATTTTTTGCCAACATTATTGACAAATTTAATGAAATATTAGGAATCAAAATTGACCATTTTACCATATGCTTATTCCCTTGACAAAGTGATAAACATTAAAAACTGAAAAAGAAATATGTGTCATGATTCATAAGAAAGGTGACAACCATTAAAAAAATGGCCGACTTTTTAAAAATTGCATGTAGCATGACTGTTACACTGTTTTTGATCTCGTATTTGACTATACATATGTTTAGGATCAGTATGTCACAAATGTTTATCACTGAAAAGTACCTTCACATACAAATATAATTTTTTTTTGTAATAAATATTTGAGCACTAATGATCAAATTAAACATAATCACACAGAATTAAATCAATCAAAACACAAAATTAGAGAGAAATTCAAAATAACTTTAAATAAGTATGGACTGAACAGCAAACAGTGCAGACAGTGATGAGACAACATGAATGTTAGTCTTGGTCTGCTCTGGTTGTATGTGTAGAATCTCGCTGGCTAATGGTTTCAGAAATTATTTGTGTTTTCTCTGCTAAGCTATTAAATGTTGTTCTAGAGATCGTAAATGAACTATGTGTTGTTGCTGCTGTGGTACAGCACAAGAAACAACAAAAATCACTGACAACACTGAGGTTGTTGAAAAGACACTTGAGAAATAAAGTAAATGTCAACATATGTAGCTCTGACTATGGCATGGTCAGACTAAAAAAGAGGTAATTACCCAAGATAAGATAAAAAGAGGATATTGAATGAGTGTAAGTTCAATACTGAATTTATTGCACGAGTTGAATACAGTTATATTATGTGAGCCTCTGGCAAGCGTAATATTATTTTATTCAACAAGTTCAATAAATTTAGAATTTAACTTATTCTATTTATCACATACCAAAAATAAAGACTGTTTAAAGTGAAAAAAGAGTCATTTTTCATTGACGGGCCTATAGTATAACCCTAACATTTAGCGCGTCTTTACACTATGTTTGTATATCGCTAATGATGTCACGTCAAAATATATTGACGGCCGTGCAATACCATTTTTAGGGAGTCGCAAAATCGGCACAGGTGTGTGATTAAAGATTGTTTGTACCTTAACTTGTAACAGATATTGATCAGCTTACGAAAATTTTGTCCTTAGTTGGTTCACCATGTGAGAAACTACTAGCTAAGATCAGTAGTGAAGAGGTACCGTATAATACTTACACTGCACTTTTATATTCTCTATTCCTATGTATTTATATCTAAGGGCTGTCATTGATGGATAATTTTGTATGGATTTATCGATAGCCAAATATCAACGAAATATCAGTCTTTGAATGAAAATAGATAGCGCAGTGGAAATTATTTGAATGGAAATCATTTGAATATATGATATAAAATCTCATCATGGTGTAACGGATGCTTGTATAAGTCATCACATTACTACATACTAAAAGACATTCAGGGTTCAAGCTAGTCGAGATAGAGTGGGAGAAGTGACCTCTGTTCAGACTAAATAGAGAGATATTTGCAGAAGGCAGGGAATAGGGAGTTTTAAATTGTATTGATATTCTCAGTTGTAAATCAATATTAAATTGAATGTTGGGATTAGTGATGTTCCGATTGTCGCAAGTCGCCGATGATTAGTTACTGTTATGTAAAGCGACAATAATCGATTCACAAAAATTTGTTCTGTGACGTCGTCGAAGATGTTTAAAGTATCAAAGAGAATTAATTCTGACGGTAATTTTCTTTTAGGAACACCTCGCTGATCACAAAAAATCATCTCAGAGACAATTTGGAGTTGAACAGGATCAATAAGTGATGTAAACAATAGAAATATAATGTGATGTGAATGTTATTATTTGACATCCATTGAAAAATAAAATCTATTTCGTAAAATTATGACTATATAAGGTTAAAACTGTGTTTAAAATTGCTGAAGTTCATGTTACTGAATATAGTTGTAGTCCAAGTGCCTTGGGAAGAAATGTTACTTTCCTATTTCTTTTTAACGCGACTTTATTCGAAAAGTTATCGATTATGTCCTATCCGACTGAACCGATGATCGATTGGGACAAATTTCATCCGATTTCCATCACTGGATGGGATAGCGGTGATATTTTAATATTGTGATATTAAATGACAGCCCTACTAAACCCTTAAATACTGTCCTGTTTTAAAACTTTATATACCGGTACTAGTCTTCATCCCCTAGCAAGACTAACAGGAAGGCTCCCAGAAGACATGAATATAGTCTGTTGTTTTAAAATTATGCATGCTAATTATAATATTTATATAACATTTTGTTCTTTATGTTTATTATAGAAGATATAACATGGATAACTGTGAATAAGTTCCGTTTAAGGAGAAGCTACTTGCAATCAAAGCTTAACACAAGCTAGAATGTAGAAAAAAGGAAACAAATCATGTATATATACAATTGTCTGTATAAATGTCATTAATTCCTTTAAGTTTTTGTCTTTTTAGACAGTGTTATTACTGGGCTACAAACAATGATCTAATGACATGCTATTGTAATATTTTAGTGGACTGTTCTATTCCTTTTCCATGATTTAATTTAAACCTTTAAAAGGGGCTTGTCCAAACTTTTACTTGAAAAAAAACCCCCTCAATTTTTTTGGAGGGAAATTTTAAAAAACTTCTGATTTTTCAACTTGCAGCCATTAAACGGGCAAACAAATGTGCCCCGCCCAAACTTTTGGGCTGCCCAAAGATTTAATGGGTTTAATTCCCCTTTTCTCTAGGGAAGCCTTTAAAAACTAGACCCCCAAACCCTCTTTTTTTCCCCTTTTCACAATCAGTAGGGCCCAAATTTTTTGGGGTAAAGAAATATTTAAAATTTTTATATTTATATGCCCTTTTTTTTTAATTTTACTGGGATTTTAAAAAATGGTTTTTAAAGTGGGTCGTCAGAATGGGCCCTTTTTTTAATTTAAATACTTCCCAAATATTATAAAAACGAAAGAAATGTACATTTGAATTTTAAACAAAAATAAATTGTACACAAACTATTTAACTTTCTATATATCCCCGGAATTTTAAATTTGGGGTTATTAAACCCCCCAAAAAATTAAAAAAAACATCCATATTTTTAATTTGTTTTTAGGGTTTTTTTCCATTTGATCCCCTTTAAAAATATCAAGGGATAAATTTTTTCGGTTAAAACAATTTTCCAATTTCCCTTTTAAAAAAAATTTTTTTTGGCCCTTTAAACCCCCGATTTTCCAAATTAAAAATATCTTTTATAAAGGGAAAGATTATGGACATAATGCCAAAGGGGAAACAATTTTTCCCCGTGTGCAAAAACTTATATTTTCTTTAGGGAAATTTAAATAAAGTTTCCCCTTTAAATATTTTACAAAATTTATTTAAATTTAAATGGGAAATTTTCAAAAGGGAAAAAATTGGGTTTTATTAAAAAGTTAAAAAGTTATTAGATCAGTAAAGGTTTTCCAGATTTTAATCATGAGAAAATAAAACATTTTTTAAAATATTTTAAAATTTTTTATTTGACCCAAATTTTTAAAACTGAAATTTTTCATTTTTATCAAAATTTTTGGAAAATTTTTTTTCACATTTTATATCCCTTAATTAAAGGAAAAATTAGAGGGAATTTTTAATTCAGTTTTAAAAACCGGGAAATAATTTCCCGATTAGCAAAAAGGGAATTTCAAAGAGTGGCACAAACCCCGAGTAATTTTTTAACTTTTGGTTTCAAGAAAAAAGGGGAAATATTTTTCGACTTCACTAAACTAAAAAATTTTCTTTTTTAAATTTAAAGCAATCAAAATTAAAAAAACATTTTTTCCCAATAATTTAAAAGAATAGCTGCCCAAAAAATTTTTACAAAAGTGACTCTTTACGACGTCACATTTTTTAAATTGGGTTTTTTTCGTGACGCTGGGATTTTTACTGAAAACCAACAAAAGGGACTTAATTTTCAAACCAGTGAAATTATCCCAGTTTTAATTCCCACTGATTGTATTTTCCTATAAAACCCATCGAAAAGGCAATGGTTAAAAAACAGGAATATACTGGTTTTTAAACTTTGTGTTAAAACCAACAATAGGAGATGAAATATGGCTTCTTCAAAGTCTTGTGTGAAATTTCCCGATTATTTAAGGGAAAATTTAAA